GCTGGAGCTGTGCCAGGGCAGGGTCAGGTTGGATCTCAGGACAAGGTTCTTCCCCCAGAGAGTGGTTGGCACTGCCCAGGCTCCCCAGGGCAGTGGGCACAGCCCCAAGGCTGCCAGAGCTCCAGGAGGGTTTGGACAATGCTCTGAGGGACAAGGGGGATTGTTGGGGTGTCCTGGGCAGGGCCAGGGGTTGGACTGGATGGTCCTTGTGGGTTGCTTCCAGCTCAGGCTATTCCATGATTCTGTGAAGGTCTCTCTGCCCATGGCAGGTGATTGGAACGAAGGAGCTTTAAGGTCCCTTCCAACCCAAACCATTCTGGGACTCTGGTTTGAGTTTCTCCTCACAGGCTCCAGGCGTGCCTGGATCAGTGTTGGAGGCCTGACTTAGGCCTGGTTTTATTGGTTTAGTTGGATGATCTTCAGGGGGCTGAAGGGACTCTAAAGGGATTAGGCATTTGGTACATTATAGCCCTCTTAGTGCAGGGCAACTGTGCTGGTGCTGGAGTGGCTGGAAAACTCGGGAAACACGGTGTGCATGGATGCAGGCACAGGGAACTGCCTTTGGAGAGCCTGTTGTTGTGCCCTGAGATGTTTTTGGGGCCGTTGGCCAAGGGACCAACAGGTTGTAAACAGCGTTTGTGGGGCAAATCTGATTACTGCGATTACGGCCGAGTTAGCGCTCACGCAAAACTAAGTCTGTGCAAAAATCCTGACCACCTAAGGCTGGGAAACAAAGAGGAAAAACAGGATTAGGATGCATTAGTGCAGGTTATTCTGCTTGTCGCACCGATGTGGAAAGCAGGTACATGTGATGGGTGAAAACTAAGTGTGTTTTGGGGTGGATTCCAGAGGAAATGGGCCCTGCTGCTGGTGCTCATTCCTCTGTGCTCACATCTCCCATCCCTCCCACATGCAGTGTCTGACTTCCTGGCCAGCCCTTCACCTAACCTGGCCTTGTGGAAGAGAAACACGAGTGTTCTGTGCCCAAACTGCCCCTGAAGTTGATGTGAACAGCGAGAGAAGGAGCTGCAGCCTGAGCTGCAGGCCTGGCTGTCCCTCCCGTTCCCTTCCCTCTCTGTGCCCTTACAGCTCTCAGGGTGTGTTTCCCTGTCCCAGTTCAGGGTGGACACAGGGTTATCCTGGAGGCAGGAGGTGTCTGTGTGTGCACTGGAGGCACAGATCCTCAGGGAAGCAGGTTCAGGGGCTGTGTTGGGGTTGCAGGTGCTCGAGGCGTTCGCCGGCCGCCTGATCCGAATGGGAGTTTTGGCCAGGAGGGACATTCCCAGCCTGACCAAGTACCAGATCATCCTGGCAAGGGATCAGTATAGGAAAAACCCCTCTCCACAGCATGTGGTAAGTGTCTTTTATTGATTTCATGTCGTTAAAGTAGGGGGTAAATAGTAATTATCCATAGGTACCAAATTTCCTGAGACATTTTAAGTAGATTTCTGGGTTTGATTTCTGGTTTTAGCCCTGGAATAAATTATCATAGAATCATAGCATGGGTTGGGTTGGAAAGGACCTTAAAGATCATCTATGAAATCTGCAAAATATACTTAACTGTTCCATGTTTCTTGATGCCAATATAGAACAGTTAAGGAAAAGATTAAGGACTCCATTTCCAAAGTGAAATTGTTTTGAGGACTTAGATTGTACTTCCTCACAGCAAAGTTCACACTTTCCCCTCAAAGCTACATTCCTGCTCCTATTTTTCTGTAACTTGTCAGGGAGTGGTCAAATTTTGTAATCTTAAAGAACATTGCCTAAAAAACCACTGTGTACCTTAGAAAGAACATTGGGAAATCCCTTTCACAGTAAGCAAGGCAACTTTCCTGCCTTCATTTCATAGCCTGGGTAGATGTGCCAGAAATCCCTTGTTCTGCCACATCCAGATGGGTGGGTGGTTCAGCTGTCAGAGGCTGAGGGGAGATGAGCTAATCCTGGAGGATAATACAGGTATTTTGGAGGTGGAAAAGGATTGTCTCCACTGGGCTGTGTGAAATCTGTTCCCTGAGGGCTGGGATAGACAAACTGCTCACTGGGCATCAGCTGGGGCTTTGGCTCTGCTTCCAGCCCCCAGTCTGGTTCTGGTCAGGAGATGCAGTGTGATTCCTGCTCCTCAGTCACTTCCTGGTTCAGTGATGAGTCTGTTTTGTTCCACAGGGAATCCACCAAGGCATCATCGAAGGGGACTTTGCCCTTTGTATCAGTTTATACCACGGGTATGAGCTGCTGCTGCAGATGGGAGTCCGCTCCTTGTTTATCTACCTTTGGGGAATTATGGATGGAGCCAAAGGTGAAATGTCCTCGGGAACATCCTTCCTTTCATTCCACTCCCTCCTTTTCATTTACCTCCTCTGTATGGCAACTTACAGAATAAGTGGGTTGCAAATGGAATTGGTGCTTTATTCCCTTGATCCCAGCTGGAAATGTATTAGCAGTGTTAAAGACAGAGTACATTTGGGAAAGCACACTGAATCCTGAGGTATTCCAACTCTTCCCAAAGGGTTGACCCGCACGAAGAACGAGCTGGGGCGTAACGAGGACTTCCTGAAGCTCTACCAGCACCTCCGAGACATGTTCTCAGACACAGCCGTGGCTCCAGAGACTGGGGGTGTCTGTAGGAGTGACACAGGTCAGGATTTCTCTCTCAGGGGCACAGCATTCCTGTTTAAAACTTGTGCTGCACTTGACTGCTCCTCTTCAGATTGTCTTCCCAACAGTCCCCTCCCTCTCTCACTCCCTCTCTCTCTTCCCTTGGTGGTTTTAGCTGCTTCCAAACCAGTTTTCTGTGTTTGAAGATTTTCATTTGATTTAAAATGAAGGTTATAATATTACTGTTTGACTAATTGTCTTTTCCAGTGTGACTGTAACAAAAGTAACAGCACTTTCTCAGAAAGCTGGGCTTTACAAATGTGCTTCTGTCATGAGTTTATTAATTGCTGTGGGTTGGTGCAATTAGAATTAGTGTCAGGAATTTGGGTGTCTGACTCAGATAGTTACAGTGGGAGGAAATGAAGTTCACTAAACCTTCATGCTTGTTGCAGGTTTACTGATGTCTTTCACTGCTTTGTTGCCTTTCCAGTGTTGGGAAAGAAAAAGGAATTTATCTACAGCCATCCAAAATTAAGGAAATTGGAGGAAATCGTAATAGAACACTTCAAATCCTGGAAAAAGGGGTGCTCTGGTAAGTACCAACAACTCAAAAAGTACCCCACCAGTTGAACCTGGGGGTGGAAACAAGTAATATCCTGCTGATTTGTCTCCTGATTTGTGCTAATTTGTGTGTTTGTGTATTCTCTGTGTGGACAAGTCCTCTCTAGAAGGACTTTACCATAAAATTTCTGTAAGATAAAGTGTTCTAGGAGTTCTCATTGTTAATTTGATGTAAAATACTCCAACAGCTGAGTAAAACAGAGATAGCAAACTCCCTCCTGGTGTTTCCCTGTCTCCTGCTTGCCCTGCTCACAGGGTTTGTTCTGGACCCTTCCCTCAGGGCTCTGCTGCCGTTGCCTCCTGCAGAGTTAAGACGAGCATATTTAAGGAGCTTGAGGATAAAAGTTGTGATATGCAGCCTGAGGCCAAGAATTTCATGTCCCCAGGTGCCCCATCCACAGGCCTTTTGAACCCTTCCAGGGGTGGTGATTCCAGCCTTCCCTGGGCAGCCTGTTCCAGTGCCTGGCCAGAGGAACAGGGAATCTTGGACTTCATTCCAAGACATTTGCCTTCCAACCTGAGCTTTCCCAAGTAACCTTAGTGATGGTACCTCAGATGTAGGACATTCTTCCCGTGGTTGGTGTCAGTTCCCCAAAATTAGAGCACTGCTTTGATTCCAAAGGGAATTTTTCCCAGAGATGTATCTTGGAGCATTTTCTGCTCGTTCTCCCATGGAGTGAGGTGGGAGCTGTGACTGTGTAACTTGTCTGATGCCCTGTCCTTTTTCATTACTAATTCTGCTAAAATCCTGCTTCTTCTTCTGATCCAACAGATCAGGAGAGGAGTGAGGGCCCCTGTGGGGACACCAGGGTGATGATCTTCTCCTCCTTCCGGGACAGCGTGCAGGAGATCGCGGAGATGCTGTCCCGCCTCAGCCCGGCTGTCCGCGCCATGACATTCGTGGGGCACTCCACAGGGAAGAGCACCAAAGGCTTCACCCAGAAGGAGCAGCTGGAGGTACAGAAAAGAGGAGGCTGTACCAGGAAATACTGATAAAAAAGCATTACTTGTGTGCACAACTCCAGGAGTATACACTGTGTGGAAGCGGCTGAACTTCTGCTGTCATTGACAGAGTCTAGTGCCTGTCAGAGTATCCAAAATTATACTCACTGAACAGAATATGTAAATATAAACTATTTATATATATATATTTATATAGTGTGTATATATACCATATATATATATTTGCATTCTATTTATTTGTGTATTAACAACTCTTGATGCACACGTATTAAAAATCTGGGGGAATATTCAAATGTGTGCTTAGGGAATTATTTTTTCTCATAGGCAGGAAAGATAAGATCTGTCCTTAAATTTTGACCTAGCAAAGTTAAAAAAAAAAAAATAAGACAACCCCAAAGATATTTAATTGCACAGTTGGGAAGATCAGTTTTAGAAGAATGCCATGGCCGGAGTCAGAGTAAGCTGTGCTTTTTTTCCTTCATTTTAGAATTAAACAGTTTAAGTACTGACATTGGTCACATTGGTGGGTGGGATTTGATCAAGAGGCAGTAGTTGGTTTAAAAAGACTAAGTTTTGTCGTTTTAAAGTGTTAAATTAATTTTTCCAGCATAGAAACCCTGCAGGGCCGTTGTGCTGCCCTGGTAACTGGGGTTTGAACTCTCCGTGCAGGTGGTGAGGCGGTTCCGGGAGGGCGGCTACAACACCCTGGTGTCCACGTGCGTGGGGGAGGAGGGCCTGGACATCGGGGAGGTGGATCTCATCGTCTGCTTCGACGCCCAGCGCAGCCCCGTGCGCCTGGTGCAGCGCATGGGCCGGACCGGGCGGCGCCGGCACGGCCGCATCGTCGTCATCCTGGCCCAGGGCCGCGAGGAGAGGGTGAGTGCGGCCTGGGGGGCTGAGCTGGGAGGGACCGACCCCTGGGCCTGCCCAGGGCACCCCAACAATCCCCCCTGTCCCTCAGAACCTTGTCCAAACCCTGCCCTGGCAGCCTTGGGGCCATGCCCACTGCCCTGGGGAGCCTGGGCAGTGCCAACCACCCTCTGGAAAAGAACCTTGTCCTGAGATCCAACCTGACCCTCCCTGTCCCAGCTCCAGCCCTTCCCTGGGTCCTGTCCCTGTCACAGGGAGCAGAGATCAGAGCTGCCCCTCGGGACGAGCTGCAGACCCCTGAGCTCTGCCCTCAGTCTCCTTGTTCAGTTTGTCCTGGGAAACTATGTCAGAGAATCCCAGACTGGTTTAGGTTGGAAGGGACCATAAAGCCCATCCAGTGCCACCCCTGCCATGGGCAGGGACACCTCCCACTAGCCCAGGTTGCTCCAACCTGGCCTTGGTCACTTCCAGGGATCCAGGGGCAGCCACAGCTTCTCTGGGCAACCTGGGCCAGGGCCTCCCCACCCTCCCAGCCAGGAATTCCTTCCCAGTATCCCACCTAAATCTACCCTTTTCTAGCTTAAAGCCATTCCCTGTGTCCTGTCCCTCTGTGCCTTGTCCCCAGTCCCTCTCCAGCTCTCCTGGAGCCCTTTAGGCCCTGCAAGGGGCTCTCAGCTCTCCCTGGAGCCTTCTCTTCTCCAGGTGAACCCCCCCAGCTCTCCCAGCCTGTCATGTCATCAGATGCTGACACTGGGAACACTGGTTCTGACCTGGTGACGACACTGTGAGCTCAGAGCAGTGCTCAGTGGCTGCTCTTGCGTGTGAGGTCTGAGCAGATCAGCTTAGGGGAAATCCACTTTGGCCGAGTTCCTGAACCTCAGCACTCAACTGGAGCATGGTTAATCATCCCTGAGTACAGGCTGTCCCTTGGGAATGCCATGGGGCACTGCAAACCCAGGCTGTGAGCCAGGGAGCCCCCCATCAGCTGTGCCACCTGCACCCCACAGCCCTGCAGAGCCTGGGCTCATCCAAGGGGTGGGAAAGGGCAGGATTTGGGCAGGCCAGGCCAGGCAGCCCCTGCTGCCACCTCTCTGGTGAGAGAGGATGCAGACTCCTAAGTGCAAGGTCTGTGTAAGCCAATTGTAAACCCAACACTTCTGTGTCTTGGTGTTATTTCGTGTATTCCAGTCGATGTTGTTGCTCTGGTTTGTGTTTGTAGGTGGCAGGGATTTAATTCTAGATGAGACTGCAGAGGATCCTGCCTGAGGGGGAAAAAAACAACTTTGAAGGGATGAGGGTTAAAAATGATAGACCTGAATGGTGTTTGTGAATAGATGTTTTCTCATGCTACTTATGCAGGCTGGATAGTACTGAGAGCTCTGCTCTGTAATGGGATATAGAATAGTCCCTTAAATTCCTTGGAGCTTCACTTAAGTAGCTGGATTACTGTGTTCTCCAGATTTTCTCAGAAATCTCTGCAGCAGAACCTTCCCCAGGTAGAACAGTAATTGTAGATAATGTTTTTATTTTGAGATCAGGAAATAAATTTAATTGCTGAACAATATTGCTTTGGTTTATTTGTTGTTTTTGCTGGGGGGTGTTTTTTGGGGTAGTTGTTGGATTTTTTAAGATTGATCCTCATTCCATTTCTGTTAATGTGGACATTCTTTCCCATCACATAACTTACAGCTGAATAATGAATGGTCATGTTATGGCCCCTCATAATTTGTGGGAATTGTTGGAGATTTAGGGGGGGGTGTTTGTTTCTTTGTGTTTCTTTGGGTTGTTTGTTTGTTTGTTTGTTTGTTTGGGTTTGGGTTTTTTTTGCTTGGTTTAGTTTGTTGGTTTTTGTTATCAAACCACTTGAATTCCATTACCCAGCTTTTGAAGAGCAGGGTGTTTGTGGAGGCCTGGCAGTGTGAGGCTGGCAGGGATCCCTGTGTTTATTCCTCAGCCCCCACGTGTTTCCCGGGTCAGCTGTCACATCACATGTGTCCTGGGCCCTGAACTGGGATGGAATGGGCTTGGATTGGGGTTTCCTGGTGTCCTGGGACAGCAGCTCAGCCTGGCTGGACTCAGAGCTGCTGGGATGGGGTGCAGGGCTCGGAGCTGCCCCTGGGAGCAGGGAAGGGGAACAGCAGCACGGTGACAATGCTCTGAAGGAATTTGCAAGCACAATTTTTTTACCATAAAAAGACCTTTTCTTTCTAGGATTGTCCCAGGATTTCCTGAGCTGCCCTAGGATGAAAAGGCTGTTTGTTGGAGTGCCCGAGGGGCCGTTCATCAGAGCTGGCTGTTGGTCTCCTCTGGTGTGTTCAGAGGGCCTGGTTTGGGTTGTCTCCTCTGGTCCTGCCCCCAGAGATCTCTGCCAGGTTGTAGCTGCCACACTGTCCCACTCAGGGCATTGGTCCCCAGCAGCCTGTCCCAGGGACCCAGAGGAGAGCACAGGACTGTCTCAGAGTCGCTGCTTTCTTCCCTTGTGTTCTCCAACCTCATCTTGGTTTCTCTGTTGCACAATAAAGTGGGGTGTAATTAAAGGACTCAGATCGTGTATGACATCAACAAAACATCTCCTGCCTTTCTCCTGCTTGGCCTCCTTTCTCAGTTTCTGATGTAATCTCATTTCCATCACCCCTATATGAATGGCACATTGGAACCTCCCCCAGCCCAGGGCTGTGCTCCTTTTTCTCCCCAGTGCTGTGCCTGCTCCTGCTCTGGCTAAAAACCCCAAACCAAAAATCACCTCGACGAGAGAACAGAAAATAACAAGAAACCCCACTGACAGTCAGGTGCTCTTTGAGTTTTGATCAAGTCCAGTGACAAAACAAGCAGTCAACATATAATTTCTCTCTTTATCTTCTCCTTCCAGACTTACAACCAGAGCCAGTGTAACAAAAGGAGCATCCACAAAGCCATTTCAGGGAACAAAACCCTGCGTTTCTACCAGCGCAGCCCACGGATGGTTCCAGAGGGCATCAACCCCCGGGTGCATAAAATGTTTATCACTGCTGAGAAATACGAGCCAAGCAACTCCAGAGGGCTCTGCAAGGAGAGAAGATGCAGTTCCCTGCAGCACAAATCTGCTCCCTTTTCCTGTGTCACTGGTAAGAGGATTATGGTGCTGCTCTAAGCGCCGCGTAAGCTGCCGTGGGGTGTTTGTGTCACAGCACATCCCACCCGCCTCTCACAGGGCTCTGGGCTCTGCAGGGCCACTCCTGGCACCTGGGACACTGTGCTGCCACTGCTGCCTGGTCCTCAGCCTTTCCTTGGACATCCCACAGCTCTGGCCTGAAACATCCCCACCTTGAGTCAGGCATTTGGTTCACTGACTCCATGGAATCTCTGACTGCAGGTCAGGAACTCCAGCTGTGAACAGAAGAGGCAAATGTTAATCAAAGAATTCCAGAATAATTTGGGTTGGGCAGGGACACCTTCCACCAGCCCAGGTTGCTCCAAGCCCCATCCACCCTGGCCTTGGACACTTCCAGGGATCCAGGGGCAGCCATGGCCTCTCTGGGTGTTATGGCTTCATAAATGACAATAACACAACAGTGCTTGAAATCAGGAGGATTGCAAAGGGAGGAAAAGAAGAAATCAAGGGCAGGGTGTTCATGAATTGTGAACACCCTTGGAGGAAAATTAATCTGAAAGGAGGAATGGCTCTTCAGCTGGTGCAGTTACATGGCACTGAAACACCCAGGAAAGTGAACACAGTTATAAGACAGGAGAAAAGACCTACTTTTTTATAAATACTTGGCAGTTGTTGTGCTTTCTGTAGTGCTTGTTAGTGCTTTCTGTAAAGACCAACAGTAACTCCTTAAAGCCTTGGGAAACTTCATATTCCAGTACCTGATTAAATGGACACAACTGCGAGGAAATAAGCAGAGCACAACATGGAATGAAAATAATAATTTCAGAGTGTTTGTAGTTGTGTTTTAGAAAAGAGCAGTGAGGGCATACAGATGGTGATGCTGAGCATGTTCCTGCCCAGGGAGCAGCACGGCAGGGCTGGGGCTGCCACGTTCCTGTTGTGGCACATGGGGTGGGGGGTGAGAGGCACCAAAGGTGAGTTGATTTGACAAAGGTGACCAGGATTGAGGTTCCAAAGGTGGAAAGGCTCCCTGGAAAGGGCTGTCAGGCCTTGGCAGGGGCTGCCCAGGGAGGTTTGGAGTGCCCAGCCCTGGAGGTGTCCCAGGAAGGCCTGGCCGTGGCACTCAGTGCTCTGGGCTGGGGGACAAGGTGGGCATTGGGCACAGGGGGATCCATGGGCTGGGAGGGCTTTGCCAGCCTCAGGGATTCTGTGACACTGTGATTCTGAGGACTGACAAATTCCCTGCTGGCTACAGGCTAAATCCACCTCCTTGTGCCCCTCTGGGCTGGTTCTTGCTCTGCTCCCCGTTCAGGGAGAATGAAAATGTTTTGGTTTTGGGGAAGAACCAGGACAATAACAGGGATGATTGAATGATATGTTTGTGTTTGGTAGGACATTGCATCCATAACATAAAATGTTCTGGAAGATAATGAGCATGTGCTGCTTCACATGAGGGGCAGAGGCTTTACCAGGGACTAAATGCCACAGAACTTGGTAATTCCCAGCTATGTACCCAAACAACCTTATCAGTTTCAGTCAGAATGGGAATGTTCTTCTTGTGTCTGTGTCCCTTTCTTTCTTTCCAGAAAAATGCTTAGGACTGTTCTTGACAGCCAAAATCCTAACTCTGCTCAGAAGCAGGAAGCCCAGAGCTTTGGGAAGCATCTGTTCCCGAATTTTGCCAACCCTTGGAGGCCTTCTTGGTAGTGTTGCAGCATGTGTTATCTGGGCTGATGGTATCACAGGCTCATCTTGTCTTTGACACACAGAGCTGGAGCTGTAACACAGGGAGCTGAAGTCATCTGTTGTTCCCAGTGTTTCGTGGGATGTGTCTGGATGGCAACAGTTCACCAGGAACAGGCTCCCCAGGGCAGTGGGCACAGCCCCAAGGCTGCCAGAGCTCCAGGAGGGTTTGGACAACACTTTGAGGGACAGGGGGGATTGTTGGGGTGTCCTGAGCAGGGCCAGGGGTTGGACTGGATGGTCCCTGTGGTCCTTTCCAGCTCAGGGCATTCCATGATTCTCTATGCTTCTCTGAAAAGTGTTCCTAATTTGCTTTTTCTTCAGGTCTCTCTCTTTTCTCCTCCTCTCCCAGGTCCTTGAACTGGGTGTTATCTTAAAGGAGTGTAACATCTCCTACACTGGAGTAAAAAATACTTCACAGCAGTGTTGATCTTCTGGGATTTTTAGTGATGGCCTTTAAAAAACTTTGGTGTTTGTTCATTTTTCCAGCTTTTTCTGAGCAGGACTCTGGACTCCCTGGGATCTGGGTTTGAGTCTCATCCTGTGCAGACACAGACTCTGGCAACTGTAACTTGAGAGGATTGAGAGACACAGGCTGATTCCTCTTATCTGGAATTAATTCCCAGCAGAGCCTGGGCTGCACATTCATCCCAAATCCTGTCTGCAGAGACACTGGCAAATTAACTTCATTATTCCTCTCCAAGCTTCACACAGGTGCCCTGACACAGCCCCGTGCTCAACACTGGTTCTGTGGAGGTTCCTTTGCCATCCCCACCCACGGCTGTTTTGGGGGATGTGGCATTATTGTGGGCAGTGATTTCTATCTGTCTGTCTCCCTGTGTCCTTGGGTGATTCTTTCCCAGACAGCTTTGTCCATATAACACATGGACACTGTTGGACTGTCCCTGATGTCCCACCCTGTGCTCCTGGTTTTGCTCGTGGCACAGGGAAGGTGTTTGTTCTGTTCACTGGTATCCTTCTATTCTCTGCATCCCTTTTCCCAAAGCAGGTAACATTTTCCTGCTCTTGTTTTTTCCCCCATAGGCCAGAAGCAAACTTTCTCTCATGAGAACTGGTCCTTGTCACCTGAGGAATATGAAACATGGGACAGACTCTACAGGATTAAGGAGAGTGATGGAATAAAGGAACCAGTATTGCCTCGAACTCAGTTTGAAACCTTAGAAAACCTGGAAGAAATACCAGTGAGTTTGACTTTAATGTAGTATTTCCTTTGCACGAGGCCTAAAGGATACTGTAAATAACAGAGGTAACTCTGAGTTTGAAGAGGGTCTGTATTAAAAATGCCATTTTGAGATTTACATGTAGGTTTTGAGGTTGAGGATTTAGCAGTGAGATGTTTGAAATGGGTCATTGAGGTTGAGTCTGTAAATTAAAAATATCCTAAGTCTCTGCAGGATGCTGTGTTCATAGAATCCCAGGATGGTTTGGGTGGGAAGGGACCTTGAAGCCCATCTCACCCAGCCCCTGCCATGGGCAGGGACACCTCCCACTAGCCCAGGTTGCTTGTGGAGTTTTAACTTTAGACCAGACTTACACCTTTGTGATGATGTTTAAATACTTCTCTGCATTTCAAGTGCTGACAGAGCACTTGACATGGATAGCACATGAGTTCTGCTGGACAGTGCCTTGATCCCAGTCTCTTCCCACCTTCCTTCCCCCACAGCAGCAGGAGGGGGTGGCTCAGGAGCTGTCCCTGTGCGAGTGGAGCCTCTGGCAGAGCCAGCCCTTCCCCACGGCCCTGGTGGGGCACTCAGAGCCCTGTCACCACTTCATCAGTGCCATGGAAATGATGGAGCACATGAGGCAGGAGCAGGTAAGGCTGGCTGGGAACCTGCACAATCGGAGGAGTTAAAAAATAATGAAAATTTAGGAAAAAAAGGAAATTGCGGAATGAATTCTGTGTGTTTGATCTCGTTCCAAAGTGTCCCCCCCTGGTATTCTGTGATTCCTAATCTTTGCCACAGAAGTGGTTTCAAAACAGTTGGTGTTTCCCTACAGAAGAGAAAACACCCCCAACCCTTAAATCAATCTTTTTTTTTTTTATGGATCCAAGTATCAGTTTATTACAGAATAACATTACATACTAGAACTATATATGCCAGGGGGCCAGGCCACCAAGAGGGATATCAGAGCTATTCCAGAGTGTAATAAGGATTGGAAGTAACTCTGTATCATGTAGGTGCATCAAAATCATCCCACAAAAGTGATGCAGGAATGTGTTCATGTTCTAAGGGGATTGTTTTGAGGATTTTTGGGTTGTTTTCTGTGAAAGCTATAACTAAAAACCTAATTGCTCCTGATAATTAAAGGATAAGGGGAGAGCAGCCAAACAAACATGGATGACAGCCATTTGGGAGATGGGAGTTCTGTTTGCTGACTGGTATGGATAGCAAATATCCTTTGGGATGAAAGGCAAGGAAAAGGGTGTGGAGGTGGGTGGACACTTCAGTTGTTCCCACACTGTTTTCTCCTCCACTTGAGCTTTTCTCTGTTCCCCAGATATTGCCTTTTAGTGTGTGGAAGTTTTTTAGGTCATCAGCATGTGTTGCTAAGCTGCCAGAGTTTCCTGAATAACAGGACTAATCGAGGAAGAGAATGGAGACATTGTAGTTGTACTCCTTGCTAGGAGAGAACATGAAAGGGAGGCTGTAAATAGACTTTCTGAGCTCAGATAAGCTGCTTCTTCACACAACAGTGACATTCCTGACTTCTCTGAGAGTTCTTGTTCCAGCTGGGGTCAAGGATGTGCTGCAGAGAGAGAGGGCTCAGGGAGAGGTCAGGGACAGAGAGGAGAAGGGAGTCAGGAGGCAAAGAGATGGTTCAGAAATTAGAAGGTCCCCCCTGAGCCTCCTTTTCTCCAGGCTGAGCCCCCCCAGCTCCCTCAGCCACTCCTGGTGCTCCACAGTGAGAGTTCCAGGCATTATCTGGATTGACTCCCAGCCAGCTTTGGCTGAGCTGTCCTGAG